CTGGCCCCTTTAACTAGCCACACACACAAGCGGTGCAAGACTCTTTACAGCCCCACCAAACGCTCCTTTCCGCCGCCTTTAGCCCCCCTCACTGTGCCTGAGTCTGCAGGGCACGCGTGGACGGGGGTCTGGCACGGGCCTCGGCCCCACTTACTTGAGGAAGTATCTCTGGCCCGTGTGGGTGAGGGCCATCTCCCAGCCGGGCGGCAGCGGCAGCTCGTCGGTCACGTCGTAGGACTGCTGGCGGAGGTGAGCGTGCTGCTGAGCCGGGCTGGGGGTGGCCCCGGCCCCGGCGCCTAGCAGGGAGGCTGGCGAGGAGTGCGAGCGGACATGCTGGGCATTCGCGGCGCTCAGCCGGGGCGGGTGGCTACCCGAGTCAGTGCTGGACTGGCGGGAGTGCGAGCCCGAATCGGGCTCCTTGAAGAAGGACTCGGGCAGGATCTTCTTCCGCCAGGAGCTGGGCTTGGGGTTCATGACCGAGTTGAAGAGCGCCTCGAGCTCCGTGTCCAGGTCCTGGGTGACATGGATCACTTGCTGCCCCGGCGGCGGAGGCGGAGGGACCGGTGTAGGGTTCATCTTCTGCCCCGCAGCACTAGCTCAACAATGCAACCAACTCGCCAACGAATGAACAGCGATCGGGTCTCCCCTCAAAACGCGTCTGTGTCCCGACCAGGGGCAGGTAGTCAACAGCGAAGGAGGGGATCCAAGCAGCACCCCCACAGCTCTCCCCAGGGGATGGGCGGTCAAAGAATGAGGGGTGCAGGGAGTCCCCCCCAAGTGTCTCCCACAAGGGCCTGGGCGATCAGCCGCAGAGAAAGTCACTTCAAACCAGCCCCCCCATAAAACGTCACTTCACCCCCTCCCCCAAACGCCCGGACACTCCGCAACAAAACAAGCAGGGACAAATCAGTATCTCGCACGATCGAGTGCATCCGCGTCGGCCCCCACGCAAAGTTACGCAACTTTCCCTGAAACTTTGGCTACTTGCTGCAGTTCCCTGGGAGGAGGGGGGGCTCCCTTAAAGGGCGACGGGAGAGTCCTGGCGGCTGTCAGCGGGAGAGAGCTGGCGGCTGTCCGGATTCCAGCGGGGAGCAAGGCACGCGAGGAGGGGGAGGGAGCGAGGGGCCCGGGACGCTCCGAGTCCGAACGTGGGGACCCGGGGAACGTTCTGTCGCTCGCTCTGCGCCTCCTCCCCCAGCTGCAGAGGCGGGCAGGTCAGGACGTTGCTTCTTCTGCGCTGGCAGCGCGTTGCAAAGGGGAGCGTGAAGGCCGCGGGTGATTCTGCCCTCACATCCTCGCAATCCAGGCTGCCTGCGCCTGCCGCTGCGCCTGCTTCCACTCCCGGGCCGTCCCAAACAAACTTTGCGAAAAAATCTCAACCCTGAGAAAGAGGCGGGGCGAAAAGTTGGGGAGCGGCATTATTCATGAGCAGGGTGCCCAGGCGCTCCGCCCCCTTCTCCCTTCCGAGCGCCAGCCTTTCCCAGGTCGCCCTGCTGTGAGTCTCAGCTATGCGGGAAGAGGCGCTTGGGGCTGAGACGGGGGAGGTCTGCGGGGCTCTGGTCACTCAGAGTCCCCGGCTGGGCTGGTTCAGATTGCAATACTTGCAGGCATAAGGGGCCTTATTAGGCGGAGCAAAGAAGCCGCCAGGTCAGCTGCAAAAGGAGACCCGTGGGTTGATCTCTCAAGAGAGCCGCAGGAGAGCACAGGCGCCCCCGCTCTGCTACACCAGCCCGATTGCCGCGTCGGGCCAAATATCCCAATTTCCATTGTTACCATATTTGGTATCCTGAAGGGGAAACTCGATCTCCTCCCACCCCCGCTTCCCAGTTCTGCAAGACACACCCAGCCGGGGTGGAGCGAGCCCTGACCTGCGGGAGGACCCCGACCCTTGCAGGGGCGGGGGAAGGCCTTTGTTTCTTTATGGATTCCTGTATCCTTGGGAGGGGAAGAGCCCTGCCCTGCGGGAACCTCTGAGAGGGGGAAGGGCTGTTCCCATGGGATCCTCACAACTTGGGTGGAGAGATCCAAAAGTCCTGCAAGGAGAGACTTGGTTTACTCAGGACACACAGACCCAACCCTTTAGAGGAAATCTCTTAATTTCCCCTAAAGGAATGAGGTGGAACCAGCTCTCCATCTTGGTGGGTAAGGCTTCTCACAACAGGCCCCAACTTTCCCCTCCTTCCTTTAACCTCTGTAGATTTCTGGGGCAGATCCCTTCCTCAGATGCACCCCATCAAGGCTACAACCCACTTGTATTTTGGGGCCCTGCATTGTTAATTAATCCAATATAATTAATTCCTTATTCTAAGGGTGGTCCCAGCTGGAACATGAGCTGAGGTCACAGTTAAGGTCTCATCCATTCTTCAAGATGATTAAAGGATGCTTTTGCAGGAGCTGAAGAAAACTGGTTGCCCTGACTGTTGTAATTTAGTTGACCTATTTAGAAACATTGACAAATATGAGCCCATACTTTATTTATGTGATGGAAAAACTAGGATGTACCCTGAGCCCCCTGTATGAATGTCATATTATGAATAGGGGGCCTGAACCATTCTACCTAGCACAGTTTGTAGGTGACAGGTTAAAGTTTGTGTCTGCATTTATGTCATGCAACAGATACTTTATATTAAAAGAGATTCTGAAACTTCCTTTCCTTTGTCATTCTAGATTTCATTAACTCAAGGTAGCAACTGAAAAGTTTGTGTAATGCTAGGAAACCGCTTTTTAAAAACATTTCTGAACTGTTTCCTTTAGCAGCATTTTGGGTCTAATGGGAACAGACTGTTACTTAAAAAAAAGATAGCTAAAAAAGTGGTGTAATTCAACACTCAGAGCAAAAGATTTCTTAGATGAAGCCATTTTTAATGTGAGTTTCCTAGTATAGTTTAATTAGAGCTGAGGTGCTCTGATGGCAGGCACCAGTATTGGAATCCAGGCAAATAAAAATAGAAGGCAGTGAAACCATTTATAAAGAGGTTGGCTTTTTGATGACAGGTTAGGTCTGTACTTTCTGTAAAATGTTATCCTGACCCATCAGTCTGATACATGCAAAGGTAGTCACATTTCAGCTATTACTCTGATAGTCTTCTAGATTTGTCCTTAGCTCTATTTAGCAGTCACATATCCTACAGTAAAAACTAGTTAGGTTTGCCATGAAAAACATTTTGCTCTATTTAATTTATATCCAATAGTCATAGTTGCTTTCAAAGCATTTTCCTCAGACTTCCTGGCTTTGTCTACACTGCTGGCTTCTGCTGGCAGAGAGTAAGCAAATGAAGTGCTGATTAGCATTTTGTCACACTTCATTTACATAATCTATTTGAGCTGGTTTTGCGCAAGAGGTTTTTGCACAAAAATAAGCAGTGTGGACGTTTCCTTTTTGCACAAAACCCCCTTTTTGCACAAGATCTTTATCCCTCACTGGGAGAGGCATAAGGGTTTTGTGCAAAAAGGGGGTTTTGCATAAAAAGAAAATGTCCACAGTGCTTGTTTTTGCGCAAAAACAGCTCAAATAGATTATGCAAATGAAGCATTACAGAATGCTAATCAGCGCTTCATTTGTATACTCTCTGCCCGCAAAAGCTGGCAGTGTAGACATAGCCCCTATAAATCAATAGGTCATTCATATAAAGTCGATCCTGCTAATCCTTACTCAAGCAATTAAAGATTTACAGATTTGGGCCCTAACATACATGTTTTGCAATGGATTTACACTTCGTCTTTCTTTCCAAAGAACTTTACAAATTGTATACATCCAGTACATCTCAAGTGCTGAGGTTCCATGATGATAAACTAATCAGTACACAAAATATCATGGTAGTTGTGCAAAGATGACATTTTGGCAAAGGACACAAATAAATATTAAAAATTATCATGGACTCTTTAATGTTCATACAGCACAGGCGGGATCTAAATTTTTAAATTCACTTCTGAGAAACCTGACCCTATAACTCTGTATTAACATTTAATCGATGAATATCTGAGACAGTCTTGTTGTGATTTGAACCTTCGGTTCAAAAAGTATAGGTAAGTTATACTGCAAGCTGAGACCCTCCTACATCATGAGGTAATTCAGTTATATGGTTTCTGGAAGGGAATGGCAAACTTGCAACATTTCAGGTTTTTATGCACTCTAACATCCCACATATTTTAAAAACAGATACATTATAATGTCAGGATGAGTATGAGAGTGGTTTAGAAGAGGCTTCAGCCTCTCACTTTAGGACATAACCAACCACTAATTTCTAAAGTTAGGAAGACACCTTCCCTATGGGTGGTTTATTCCATAAGTGTCCATTGTGGATTTTTCCAAGTTTCTCTCACATAGCTAATACTGGGTACCATGTGAGACGCTGACCTGATAGTAGATGGCAATTCCTATGGTTCTATTTTCATGATGGACCAATGAAAATGACAGAATATTCAGAAAGGGCCAAATTGTTAAAATGATTGTGAAAACTCTGGATAAAAGATTATATAAATGATAGCAAACCAAACATCTCAACAAGTAAGTGTAGCAAACAACCCAACAAAATATTTATTGTTAAAATAAAAAAAATGTTTGGGGACTAGTTTAACTGATGCCTGTGCTTTGAATTTGTATAATTAGAAGCTATCCTGATTGCCAATTTTATGTAAACCATATATGCAAAGATTCATGGAGTAATGTTAGCCTTGTGCAGATGTTTCCTGACTTCTGTGTCCATGATGGATTAGCCATCTGTCATTAACAAAGTGAACACTTTTTTGCACATTAATGTATAAATACACAAAATACATACATTCTATAAAAGTCTCAGAGGGTTTGCCGTGTTAGTCTATAACTTTAAAAACAATGAGTAGTTCTGTGGCACCTTAGGGTACGTCTACATAGTAACATTATTTCAAAATAACTAGCATTATTTTGAAATAATTTAGTCTGCATCTACACTGCAGGTAGTTATTCTGAAATTATGTTGAAATACTGTCAAGCTGAAGGACTTCTTACTCCAACTCCTGTAACCTTCATTGTACAAGGAGTAAGGGAAGTTGTTGGAAGAGTGCTCTATTTTGAAATAAGTGCTGTGTAGATGCTCCAAATTTCAAAATAAGCTACGCAATTGACATAGCTCAATTTGCATAGCTTATTTTGAGTTAAGCCCTGCTGTGTAGATGCACCCTTAGAGTACATCTACATTGCAATGCCATTTCAGGATACTTTTGGTATCCTGAAATAGCTACCCCACATCTACACAAGCTGCCCGGTATTTTGAAATAACGGACATGCCATTTTGCTATCCTGGTAAACCTCATTGCACGAGGGATAACAGATGGCCCGAAATAGCACATTATTTCAAAACTTGGCACTGGGTAGATGCACCAAATTTCAAAATAGATTCAAAGTAACATACACAATATGCGCTGTGCAAATTGCGTATCTTTTTTCAAGTTTAGGGTGCTGTGTAGATGCACCCTTAGAGACTAACCAATTTTTTATTTTATATATATAAAATCATGAGCTTTCATGGGCACAACCCACTTCTTCAGATGAGATGATCTTGAATAGAGAAAAAAAAAGAGGGACCCTCAGAATAAGAAGAGAGAGGCAGGGGGAAAAATTACCTGGCAATTGTAGTCCCAGTGCTAACGGGGCTAAATGAGTGGGCTGGAAGTGTCCCATGCTTAGCTTTTGATATCAATAGGGTGTTGAATGTAAGGAAAGCTGTTTTTATAAGATGTTAACCAGTTCAAGTCTTTGTTCAGGACAAGGGAGACAGTGTCAAATTTGCACATGAAGGTCAATTCTACACTCTCTCTTGTTGGCTTGTGAAATTCCTTTGTAGTAGAATAGCTACTTTTAAAGCCATTAATCAGTGCCCAGGCAGGTTAAAATGTTCCTCTACAGGTTTACGTTTGTGCCATTTAAAATACCTGATTTGTGTGCATTAATCCTTTGCAGTAGAGACTGTCCAGTTTGGCCAATATACATTGCAGAGGGGCATTGCTGGCACCTAATGGCATATATCACATTAGAGGATATGAAGTTGTACGGTGGCTTATGTGGTTAAGTCCTGTGATAGTGTTGCTAATATAGATATGTAGACAGAGTTGGCAACAGGTTTTATTGCGGGGGTGGATTCCTGGGAGAGCATGTCTGAGGTGTGATGTTTGGCCGCTGGAAAGACTTTGCTTCAGGTTAAGGGGTTGTCTGTAGGTGAGGATTGGCCTGTCTCTCAAGGCCCGTGAGAGTTAGGGATTGTTTTCCAGGATAGTATGTAGCTTGTCAATGATGAGCTGGGGGCTGTAGGTGATGACTAGTGGTGTTCTATTATTTTCCACATTGGGTCTGTCTTGAAGAAACCGATTCCTGGGTACTTGTCTGGCTCCATAAATCTATTTCTTCACTTCCCAGGTGGGTATTTAAGTTTTAAGAATGCTTGATAAAGATCTTATTAGTGTTGGTTTCTGTTTGTGGGATTGGAGCAAATCTAGTAGTATCTTAGGGCCTGGCTGTAAACAATGGAATGTGTCCTGGGGTACGTCTAGACTACATGCCAGATAGTCTAATCTACATGCTTCTGTCGCCAGAGGCATGTAGTCTAGACGTATCCCTGGATAGAAGCTAGAGGCATGTCGGTAAGAATAACGGTCAGTAGGTTTCCAGTGCAGGGTGGTAGTAATGTGGCCATCATTTAATTGTACTGCAGTGTCAAGGAAGTGGATCTTTTGTGTGGACTGGTCCAGGCTAAGGTTGA